AAGATAGGGCTCTGTGGTACACTGTGCAAAAAGTATTCAGGGACTGTTGCATCCTGCCTAGCACTGAAGGCATGAGCTTCACATCTACCATAAACCGGGTGACCCCACACAGACTCCACGTACTATTTATGATCATTATGATATGGACCCCTAGAAAGGGACCTGTTTTTTGGAAACTGCCATTGGCAGCACTTTCCAAGGAGCTCATTTGAAGCCGAACTTGTGGTGAATCCCCTCCCCTTCACAATGACCTGCCACCACTCAATTAATGAACCGTCTTCCTCAAATACTGTATTGGGGGTATATCTGATTGGAGGGGATGGAGGTTGGGGGTTACGATCAGGCTGTGGGGGTCGGTTATCATAGGAGGGGAATAAGAAAGGTTGGGGCTTACGTATCTGGCTATACTTGCCTGCAACATTTTTGAAATCGTCGCTGCCAGCACCCACAAGAAGAGTCAATTTCATTGAGGAGCATGTGGGAGTTTCTCAGAGTATATTCCCCCCTAAGTAGATAGAATATGGCTTTGCAATAGGATCCCCATATACTCCATATTCTATGTACCTAAGGGGGACTATATCCCTGAGATTAAGGAAGGTTTTAATCATCGCTTTGGTGAGTGTGTGCAGTGTTCCTTGGGAATGTTGGTGCGTGTCGTTGTACGTGTGGTGCCCCTTTGGGGGGGCCACACGGATCATAGAATTTTCCTCATGCGGACCCCTACAATCTCCATGTGTCCCTATGATCCTCTAGATTGGTTGCACCCCTATTCTGCGGGACTTTCATACAGAATGACCTCACCCTTGTAGTAGCATGTCTCCTCCCGAAGCTTCTTTCATGGCTCGCACTGGTAATAGCTTGCAGTGCTTGGCAACCAATGGTTCGTGCCAAAGTTTTGGAAAGATCTCCTTCTAGTAGTTGCTATAGGTTGTACAGTTCAGTACCGTGAATGCTGCCTTTGCCCGGCTCTCTGACCATACCTTTCAGGCCCCTATCAGCGCGCTGGTGTTTGTGGGGCTTCGCAGTTCGCGCGGATCGGTGGCGCCAAAAACTTGCAGCAGTCAGGGTGAACACGCTGTGTAGCTGCAACTCCGCAGGGATAAATTTTAAGCAAACAGCCGCATTGCAGCAGCGCCCTCTACTAACCAGTCCGTGCTGAGGGCCCTTGCGGGAGGGGATTGCTCTTGCTCCCCATGACCATTCTCTCCGCGACGAGTAGCTCTTTGCCCAGAACTGGTACAGGTGGTGGGTAGCATCTCCCCCCTGTGGTTTGTGACAAACATCCTTTAAAGCCTCTTGCGCATCTAGCGTGGGTTGTTCGACCCGCTGCGTACCGATGAGTCGACAACATGTTGCCATTCGACTTCGTCTCAGCTAGTGCTTGGCGGGCAATAGCAGATACTCCAAAGCATTAAGTCTTCAAAGCCCTCCGAGATCTTCCTGGGTGCCGTCAGTGTTGTTGCAATTTCAATGGAAGATATATCATGGCTAGCAGTACCCTCAATCGATTAGCTTGGCGGCAGCTCCATTCTCGGCAGTCCTTTACAGAACCTTCACGGAAGGACACCCTTATCGGATGTCCTGCCTAATTGGAGAGTTCCGTTAGGCAGGTCAACGGTACGGCAGCAATCATCACCCAGGCACACCTTAGTCAAAACTGTCCAGTATGGGAGATGATCCAGCTTTCCGAATTGTTGTTTGGATCAACCTAGGCCTTGCTGGTAATCTCGTTCTAGTGCTTGTCCCGGACACCATGGTTTTCCAGGGGGATACTTGGAGGGTCAAGGGGGCTTAGTAAGTAGGTTAATAATCCCCAACTTACTAAGTCCCCCCCCACCCTCCAAGTAGCCTTGCTGCCCTAATCTGCAACCATTGCACGTCAGTGTAAGCTCAGCCACCTCCAAGACTCCCAGGCAGTTTATGGTCAAACCTATGTGTACCATTGTCAACACTCCTAGTATCCTCCTTAAACCCCTAAAGTAGTCCCCTGTATAATCCCCTATGTAACCCCCTTCAAGGAGTTTAGACTATAGCTCATGTGGAGCCATTCGACTGGATGACGCAGCACGTTGTATCTGCTTGCTCGCCCCAATTTCGGTCCAAGGAAGAGAGCTGGTAGTGTTTCTTTCTGGGGGCAAGACCTTTGCATAGGGTCACACGCCGCCGACCCAAAGCCCATGGTAGTCACTGTAGGGCCCTGAATCCCCCCAGCCTCAACACATCAATGTTTTGAAGAGTATTTATATTATATACCCCAAATCAGTGCCAGCTTTCGCCATCAGCTATGCGGAAAAAAACGGACGTGGATGGTAACACAAATCTTAGAATGCCGGACACAAGGTTTGCTCCGATCTGTGCAGCAGCATGCCAGAAGCCCATGCCAACCTCAACTATGACAAGCTGTTGCATGATTGTACCGTTGTCTGATGGTTGGACATGCAGCCAGTGATCCGACAATGGCACTCTCCCGCAGCAAAACTCTTGAGCAGGCACGTGTCTGTCTGACATGTCCTCTTTTTTTGCGCAAGGCCTTGCGCCCTGAAACCTGAACCTTAGGCCTTGCATCCTAAACCCAGCAGCAAGTGCATTATGCAGCCAGAAAGCCAATCTGTGGAACGTGATAGGATCCGGCGTGTTCTGGACGTGCTGAGCATTGCTGACACCCTGAGGCGTCAGTGGGGTTTTTCAAAAACTAGGTATCAAAACGTCATGGCCGTCCCTATGATTCAGCGTTATAGTACTGGAGGGTATATGCGGGGGCCTCCTAATTTTGGAAATAAGTGCACGGAGGAAGCTGCAATATGATGAGAAATGCGGAGAAAATCCCAGGGCATGCAAGTCACAGTTCGGCTTGTCCACATTCGTGTGGGCGCATGATCGTGAAGAGCTTACCTGGAGAGGGATTAGGCATGGATCCCATAGACGCGACTCCACCACGCAACGTCATGTATAGGAACCCGTCAAGCATTGCATGCAGTAACTTGATCACAACCCTAAATCCTCAAGTTCAAACCCGAAAGCCTAAACCTTCAACCAGGGGCTTGTGCGATGCGCGTGTCTAAACCGGGGGCTGCTCGCATGTTTTGAGGAGGTCCTCTGTCTTAATGCAGGAGAATGTCCCAAAGCTTCTGCTCAACCGCCCTTTCGGCATGGATCTGCGCGTGGAAAAAGGAGCTGCAAAAGACCTGTAAACTGCGGGCAGGATACTTCCACTCCTATGGTTTGCGTATCTGTTCGGGTGGGCGGCCATCCGACGCGCGAAGAGCAGCATGGATGCGACTTATGGAGCTCATCTGGTTTGATGTATTGGGTTTAGTGTTGAGGGTGTAGGGGTTTCATGAGGGTTTACAATTGGAATTTGGGAAAATCATGGAAAGTGATATGGGAACTAAGGTTACATAGTGGTATGGTCCCTGTATGACCCCCTTCCCTCATACATGTAATGCACTTCAAGGGGTTGTATGAGGTATAGTCTATACGGAAATGGAAGAGAACATGGAAACTATATCATGTTTAGGGTTTATCCAGGGAGCACCAACCTCCATAATGAGATGCTCTCCTTATTATGTCAAGGGGTATTCACTGTAAGAGCGGCGGGGAGTTTGATGAATAAGGGAGAGGGGATTCTCTCCCAAGATGATGGCGCTCCCTGTGTGACCGGCCGAAGGTGTGCCAGGAATTTGCTTCTGAAGAGACGCTCCGTTCCGTTCGGAGATTGAGTGCAAGTTCACTGCAATCTGCCTTATGGAACTTATGGTTGATACCATAAGGCCATAATCTTATGGTCTCAACCCTGCACCCCACGTAATAGTAGTTTCAGTTTTTTTTTTCATCCCCTTACGTACCCCCAGATAATTCTAAACCCTTTACATAGGCAACGCAAGTGCATGTGCCAAAAAACTATTTCTGCGGAGGGGGTGGGGAGGTTCACCAAATCCTAAAGGAGACCCAGCAACGACCATGGAGGCTGCAGGATGCTAAGAGGAGTGCAGATAGGGTTTAGGGTTTAGGGCTTAGGGTTTAGGGTTTAGGGTTTAGGGATTTAGGGATTTAGGGTTTTAGGGATTTAGGGTTTTAGGGATTAGGGTTTAGGGCAGATTGTCTTTGAGATTTAGCCTCGATTTCGCAGCAGGAGCTGGATCTTACTATTCATCCCGAGGCATTCGCCGAGGACCCTGCCTTCAACTTGGCTGTAGGCGCCCATCCTAGTGCCACATCCCTGCCGCTTTTTCTTTTGCAACATTGTATATCCCCTGTACATGTATTCTGGAGGGATTGTCAAATTTTGGGAGAGGGGTGACTTCAACTTGGAGGTGTGATTAGCACCACAGGTGCTGTCCGCAGCCGAGGTTATGGAGGTGACAAGTCAAACAATCTGTACGGCCGTCGCCGGCGCCGGCCAATCACTGCCAACGGTGCTGGTGAAGTTTTGGGCGAGGTGCAACACAAGTCAAAGGTTGCAGGGTGTTTGCTAGCTGTAGCGCTTTCAGATTGCAGGGATGACGTGAGGCTTTTCCTCGTTGTCTGGGGCGTTCGAAGCCTTTGGCACTGTTAGGACTTTTTCGGCTTTCAGAATGGTATGGGCACTAAAAGCCACTGATTCCTCCCAAGAAGGTCGTTGCGCGTACCTGTATTTTAGAAGAGTGTAAGCGACAAAAGGATACACATGACCAAGGGCATGGCATGTGTGCTCGGTGCGCGCTGGCGAGCAGGATGGTTTCAATGACCTTGCTGTCAGCCGTTGCCTAGAGCCCCTTGGATGCAAAGTTGTTCTTAATGAGCAGCCCGGGAAAATCCTGCTCCTGTCTCCTTAGGAGTGAGTTTTCACTGTAGTACAAGCCCAAGGTTTTTAAAAAAGACAACAACAACGTTCTCATTACAGGTCCACTGGCCTGAGAGGATTATAACCTGTGACACTTGCAAAAGTTACTTCCTAAAGCTCAGGGCCGGCATTGGATAGAAGGAACAAGCCTGAGCCTGAGCATTTTACACTTCACCTCATGCTCCTCAGGATTACGTCCCGATTGTCTGGCAGCATTGCCAAAATTTTCCGACAATCTGGAGATGGCGAGGGCTGGTCTGGATTTTGTGCGGTCGCCTTGCTGCAAATGACAAAGCCTTGACCCTAGACCCCAGAGCTTATGTTGCTGCAGTTGCAGGATGCCCCAAAGAGCCGGCCCGGAAAAAGTGCCATGCCACGTAGGTGGCAGGTAGACAGAAGTGTGTGCGGCCAACTTGGGTTCGTCTGTTTGAGTAGCGAGAGACGCAGTTGATGGTAGTTTCCAAAGACGCTGAGATCCATGGTCCAAGGTGACCACGCGGTACAATGCTCGGACCGACCTAGCACATGTGGTTAGCAAAGTCTCACAATTCCAATGCAACTTATCTGACAACGAACGAAGCCACGCTTGTGTTTTGAGTTTAGAACTTGGCGGCGATGTATTCATACAGGAACAGTGAAAAGGCTGGCCTATGATTGGCCAGCAAAACAAGTTGTTGTGCAAAGCTGGCATTTGATTGGACATCGCAGCTTGGCTGTCTCGGCTGCAGTGCCGTCATAATATGTTAGTTCCACGGGCAGTGGCTGAACATGCGGCGACGCTAACGACCTCGGGAGCGCTACTGCCCCAAATCTTGCACTTCTCCACGTTTCACAGCCATTCCCTGTGTCCGTATCCTGGCTATGTGAGCGTTTCATCTCAAACTGCTTACTGGATGTTTGCCACGCGACCGCGTGACACGTCCCGTCTTCGAAACAACCCCCACTCCCTTCCGCATAACTCCTTTCTTCTGCAGAACGTCTGCATGTAAAATGCTGGAGTTGCATTGCCAGTCTTGGTTGGACCAACCGCGCAGTTTGCTTCCTAGTATCAGGTATTGTAGACATTCGCCTGTTGGTCTGGAGGGACAGCTGAGGTATGCAAGCGGCCGCTAAATGTGCCTTCGCCGCATCTTTTGCATGCAGCCTCGGATAGCAGAAGATGGCCCATGTAACATTGTAATTGTCCAGACATCTCAAGATGTCAAGCAGCACTGGCATTGTATGACTGCAGTGTGCTGTATTGTGCTCAATGGCGGAACCTTCGCTGTGTGCCCCAGGTCAAGATTGTGGACCAAAGCAGAGCACAGAGGGCAATCGAGGCACATATGCGGCAACATGGCACCGTGTCCCGTACACTCAAGTTTTAGTTGCTCTGTTTTGTTCGCGTTTCTGTTGCCGTGGAACGAGAAGCTCGGCATGAAACAGACGCCCTCCTCCATGGCAGGTCGCACCGCAGCATCGTGGGCGCCATGCCTTCGTGATTTGCTTGTGGGGTTCCTCCAAGGACCAGATGCGACAGCTCTCGATTGAACCGCCCCAACAGTAGGCAAGCTAGGAGGTGGGTGCATTTGGTTCGGACGGATTGTCGGCAAGTGATATCCGCGTCGTTTGCATGGACTGACCAGCTGCCAAAGAAGAGTGTACAACAGGACTACGTCCTCGGTGCCTTGGTGCTCGGTTCCTTTGGTGGCAGATTGCACTCGTGCATTCCAACACAGCTAATTTGGTGAAAGCTTTGCAGCGCTAACGTACTGCATGCGTGGCTTCTTGCGGCATCCAGCGCCATGCGCCATGTTCAGAAACAAGGGTGAACTTTTGCTTACCCGTGGCTTAGGTTACTCCATCAAGCGCACGAAAACCAAGAATGCCTTGGTCTGCTTGCACGCGGACGACGTTCCGCCCCAGCATGTTCCTCGATTTGATAGTTGACAGAAGCATGCATGCGCCGGCAGAAGTGGAGTCCTCATGCAGTGAATTAGGCTTGCGGCCTGCGCAAAATTCGACTTAGGTCGCGTTGCTGCAATTGTTTTGGGAGTGCCGTGTCGTGGAACACATCAAGGTGGGCTGCACGTGGGGACAGCTGGACAGCCATTTCGTTCCTGTGCGAGATGATATGCATTCCTTCTAATGCCAAAATAGTGTCGGGGGAACCGAAACACAATCTCGCATGGCAAAAATTAGTACAAACTCCGCTTTCTGCATCGAAATCTGGCCCCAGGACAGCTAGGTCAGCTAGGTTCTCTCATGACACGGAATTGCTGCCAATTCCACACGAACAGTACTTGCATGCCGACATCGCTGTTGCCTGACCGCTTCCGCCCCACGGCGCAATACACACCGTGTACCTAGTGCTTGCTACCCCACCCTTGAGTATGCCCTGTTCAGTTTTGGAATACACATTTGCATGTATACCGTCTACCTGTAGAAACATACACATGAACGCACCTGACGGCAGTGACTGGGCGCAAAGAAGTGCAGGTCAATGCTGCCCGGCGGCTCAGCACGGATGAGCCTCGCAGCATACAACCGTGAGGGGCAGGGGGAGGCAGGGCTTCCGATCGGGGGATGCCAAATCAGAAAGGGACTAGATGCTGAAAAGTTCGGGATAATTTGACTTGGTTGTGGTCCATTCGCTGGACATTGGGCCTGTTGAGACTACAAGCTGCGCGGGCTCAATGATTCAATGTGCAGCCAGCATCATTTGGTCTCTCCGCAGCCCTGCCTGTACCCTAAACTTGGCCAGACTGGAGCCGTGCATGCTCCTCTCATCATGCATGGGGTTTCAATACCAGCGACAACGCGCATACATTTTCAGTTGAGAACCCTGCATCACCAGACATCAAGAACTGAGCAAGCAAAGCTAAACGCCCTGATCAATCCTAAGCCAGATCCGGAACTATGCGGCCGATACAACATGGAGTCGTAAACGATCCATGCAACATATTTCTTAATGTTCATCCCGTTTTCGGGGTCCCCAAGCCGATCGACCTTTAATTTTAGGGCTCGTGTATACCTGACAGACCGCATACCATGCGGGCACCCGATAAATCGCCCCAAAACCAAGGGGCCAATGCCGGGCGCCACTCTGGACTTTCCTTTCAATTAAACTCCAAGACTTTACAGAAATAGCAGTATGTACTAATCCTATCAGCCTATGAGTTTTCATGCTTCTTACAGTACAGGGAGCCCAGGACCGCATTGAGGAATCGAGGTTCTTCAAGGTCTTCACAAAGCTGCGCGCCCTTGAGCAAACGGACTTCGAGAAGGCGGGAAGGCTCAGACGGGCTTTCTACGGATGAGCATGTGGGGGTTTCCCAAAACTAGGGGTACCTTTCTGGGGGTCCGCATAACAAGGACCTAGTATTTTGGGGATCTGCTTTGGCGTCCCCTATTTTGGGAACCTACCATGTGGGAGCCGAGATCATCTTTGATTCAGGGTTTAGGGAGCCGGGCTGTGTGCGAGCCCAGATGCAAAAAGGGAGCCGGGCTTGTGCCGATACATATGGGTGGCTGTCAGAATTGTTGTTCCTTTTTGGGTCCCCATTATAATGCGGCACCTAATATTTAGGGTACCCAAAATGGGACCATCTTTTCATAAGGGACGGACGCAAGTTA